AAAACCTGGATCCAAACTAATGAACGGGTCGGGTTTAAACCAAAATCGCTATAATGTAGAATAAATTCTCTCCACCTAAGATGAAGTTTATATCACGGCTAGCATGGAAAGGTAGGCTTAAAACTTCTGATTTTTTTAAGTAGAGTTGGGGTCCTAAGGAATAATGTGGATTTATCATGTGTGTTGTGCAAAACAGGGCCTGAATCAATGAACCATATTCTACTATGGTGTCCTTTTGTGTGGCAGGTATGGTCAAGCGTACTTCATTGGTGGGGCTTGAATTAGGTATTGCCTAGGTCAGTTAAAAGTCTGTTACAGTGGTGGATGGGCTGGATGTTAAGAAAGAAGGTAAGGCAAGTATGGCGAGTGTAATGCCCCAAAATAATTAACATAAGAAAACTCAACATATTCCAATAGCATAATCTTGTTTCCAACTTAATAACTTCCATTGCATAAATGTATATGAGATATAATGCCTCATCATTAACATCATCATCATATCCCTAACATTTGTATTCATTATACTTCTGAGATTAACAAAGATATCCCACATGCAATTATACATTCAATATTTCCTAGAATATGAATCTATAGCATGTGGCACATCAAGTCAAATACAATTTAATGCCCTCAAAGGCTACAAGTTCTGAGGCTTATGCCTAATTACACAAAATGGTTATCAAACCCATACATGTACAGCCATCGGCTTGTCAAAAATAACAACAAAAGAAAAAGAGCCTTGTGCCCGCAAAATACACTTCACACCTTTAACTCGGCAGGATCACCACATCTTTTCCTGCACAAAATACATTAGGGTGAGCACAAAGCCTAGTAAGAAGATCTTAACAAAGTATATACATTTTATACAGTCTCCTGAGATAAATGGATATGCCATGTCTTGCTCAACATATATTTCTCTATCTTTTTGAAAATCTTGTATACAATGCAAATTTGAAAACACAATAATTCAATAACTTCAATATAGTTCAAGGGGTGGTAAATACGACTCAAGTAATCCCTAGGTTGGTATCTGTAGGTAGGCATATTAAGCACTACCAATCACCATTTTATCGGTTTCTAACGGGAAGGCACATGATACCTCCTCGACACGTGTTTTTGGTCTTTCACTATGGACACTCAGGCCAACTTACCCAATACCAAACTACACCCTTATCTGGACTTACCAATGTATTTACCCCAAAACAATTCAAGATGATCTTGTTTCACAAAACAATTCTTTTCTGAAGGCAAAAATTTTCAAATGCAAATTTGAGATCAATGATAATGAAGATGAAATGGAATGGCAATGAAACATGTAACAATGCATTATAATAGTTCCATTTTCAATTCCACTACACAATCTTCCATTGTGATCAATTTTCCATCTCTCTCCTCAATGCAATTTCACAATATAACTTCCAAGATATAAATAACAATACCATATTAAAGGCATTCTCCACAGGTTAATCATCATTTCAAAACTTAGTCTTTCCAAGACAAACTAACAATAAACTATTCATCAAGCTTCAAAATCAAACATTTCTCATTTCTCTATGAAATCCCTCCCGAATTAAATCCATTATCACAAATCAAACAAGATCTCGCTCCAATAGTTTTGAAAACGTAAAAAATTGAGCGACCCACTCTGATACCAATTGAAAACCCTAAAATCCCCAAAATATTGATTTGTGATTATATTACAATTTTCAATGAATAACAATCTCAATCAAACAATCAAAAACAAATCAATACATCGATTTAACGTGGAAAAACTATAATTGGAGCACCTCCAATTGTGATAAAAAAAAAAAAACCACAGGCCAAAACCACAAAACAATACACTAAGGTCATGTTTGATTCACAAGACTAATAGTGAAGTATTAATAATCCTATTAAATTAGTGTGGTATTCATTATCCAATTGGATTAATAATCCTAAACCAAAATGTTAAAACAAACATAGGATAATTAGGCCCACAGATTAATAATCCCAATCCCATGCTCTAATCCACCCAATCAAACATGACATAAGAAGACAAAAAGGAATTACACATGTGTACCCTCAATTACTTAACGAATCCACACCTGAATTGAACTGACCCCGATATGCTTCTTCCACCACCGTCTTCACCTCGGAATTGACTTGCCCAACGTTGAATTCACAACGCCGATGTCGAATACACAACGATGAGTTACTCCGGAATCTATCAAAGCTTCAGGCCCAAGTTCCCTGAAATTCACCGAAGAACAACTCTCTCTTTTGTGAATAAAAGAAAACAAACAAACCCCTTGATGATGTTGATATAAAGTTCATGGATCTATTGATCACTTTTCAATCATCAAGGGGATTTTAGATTTTTCAATTTTAAACAATGAATAAAATCCTAATCAATCAATAAAAGACAAATCAACACACCGATTTAACGTTGGAAAAACTATAATTGGAGCACCTCCAATTATGATAAAAAAAAATCATGAGCCAAAGCCTCAAAACAACTAAGAAGACAAAAAAGAATTACACATATGTACTCTCAATTACCTAGCGAATCCACGCCCAAATTGAACCGACACCGATGTGTCTCTTCCACCACCATCTTTGTTAATATACCATGAATAACATTGATTTTGATGATTTTGTTTTGATTTATGTTTTGATTTAATTGAAGAGTTAAATTGTTTAAAATCTTATAATTAATTTAACATCATAATTCATCCTCATTTTTTCTTATTTATGTTTATTAAAGACCAAAATTTCAGCTCAAACAAGCAAGAACCAAGCAGCAAACAATAGTAGCAGAACTATTGTTTTGATTTTGTTTTGATGGATTATAATTGAAAACTTATTGTTTGATTAAATCATTATAATATATGATTCTCTTAGTGTTTAACTATGTTTTTGAAGGCCAAAAAGAAGCTTAAACAAGTGTTAAAGAGGTCCCATAACAACAGCAAACAGCAATAGCAGAAGCAGCCAAAACAAAGAAGACTGAATTTACACTGGGTGGATGTCCGGGCGAATGTCCAGGGGGACAACTGGCTAGGCCAAAATCAACCCAATTCAGCCCTGTTTCAGTTCTATTCGCTCCGGCTGTCAAACCAACAGTATGCTTATCGACCGCAGCAATCATCCTTGACAACCAGGACATGACCGAACATCCGAGAGGACGTCTGGGCAAATGACCAACGAGAACAAAACTCCATCTAGGACATCCAAGAGGATGACCACCTACTGAATCAGTTCTACAATGGCTATTTTTCAAAGTTCAACTTCACAACGACTAGCTGATTTACACCCATCTTCCAACGAGCAAAACTCACATGGGCTAGAGACAAAGGCTGACATTGATGACATGTATATCATCATCCCATCTCCTCAACGGGAAAAAGAATATCGACTTGGTAGACAGAACAGAGCACTGAGCTCTGCTATATATATAAAGCTCTAATGTAAAGAGCAAAGACAAAGAAGTGAACAACGAACCAAGATATTTTCTTGTCATTCATCAATCACATATTTCATCTTCTTTGAGTTATCTAAAGAGGTCTTCACCTATGTTTCATTCATCCTTCAAAAAATAAATATTGAGCCTAAGCCTTAAGCCTATTTGCCTGTGAGAGATTATCAGAAAAATCATAGAGACTTGAGCCAAGAAAATTTCTTTAAATCAATCATCAGTCTCAAACTCACCCTAAGAGTTATCTGAAGTCTTCTGCATTCTTGTTTAATTCTTTCTCCTTCAAAATCAGTAACTGAGCCTTATAGCTTTAAGCCCATTTACCTGTGAGAGGTTTACTGATATATCTTCTGAGCTTCAACATTTTATATCTATTTGTGAGAGATATTTTTTTAGCTTTCTTTGAAAGAAAAACCACTCAATTTCAATCTTGTAAAAGGTCACTAGCAAGCCTGTAAATATAAGGAGAATCTGTGGGCATTTCTCCATGTGTATGAGGTTACTAGCACCCCTGTGAAGCTAGAAGATAGTGAAAAATCTCAAGTGAAGCTTGAGGAGTGGATGTAGGCTTGGCTAAAGCTGAACCACTATAAATCTTGTTTGCATTATGTTCCCTTATCTCTTTACTTTCCATCCACTGTGTTTGCTATAATTCCTACTACTGCTATACTTATCTGTTATGATTGTGTTGATCATTTGATAAACTCATTGCATTAGTAGTACTTCACTGTTATTTTGCTTTATCAATATCTGTTGCATTAGTTGGTAATTTTTATTGGGGAATTATTAGTTTTTATTTGTAAAAACCTAATTCACCCCCCTCTTAGCTTGATTTTTGGGTAACAATCTTCACCTCGGAATTGTCTTCCCCAATGTTGAATCCACAACACTGGTGTCAAATCCACAATGATGAACCACTCCGGAATCCACTAAAGAACAACTTTCTCTTTTGTGAATAAAAGAAAACAAGCAAACCCCTGATGATATTGATATAAAGTTCATGGATCTATTGATCACGCTTAAATCATCAAGGAAACACTCATAAAGCACCCTCCAATATAAAACACTATGCTTTTTCTTCCTCTCTAAAAATTTGGACAACTTACCGCTCGAGTGGTAAAACTTGCTTCCCAGAAGTTCAAATGCTTTGCAAATATACTGGACGATCCTTTGCTCCGCTCAAGCACACAAATGACCGCTCGAGTGGTCAAACAACTTCGACTGCATTTTTTCCCGTACATAGCCAGCGAAATAGCAAATATGAAAGGATCAAGATTACAAACTTCTCTGCATAGGTAAAATTCGGGTTGGATTCGCACCTAAATACTCATAGTCTCACTGAAACAAAATAACGAATAAAATTACAACAGAAAGGATTGACAAACGAAATTGCTAATTACAAAAACCTAACACAAATTACAAAAGCTAGAGCCGTTGTTATGATAATCAAACGGTTGAATTTTACTTACCCAACATAAACACCTCATACAAACTTGCACTACTTCCCTTCCAAACAGAGTCTTCCATCCTTACAATTATAATGGAATTGTTCTACACATACTTTCTTCCTCCTCTGTTGGATTGGAATTGGCATTCAAATAATATGTATATATAGAAACAAATTAAACATAATAATCACAAAATAAAAAGATAAAATAAAATAACCAGAATAATTCCTTCTTTAGTAGTGCCATACATAATAAGATTTTCTACTTAATTTTCTTATCACTACACACAATGGTAGTTGGATCAGACAAGTGAATAACATGGAAACGACCAATGATGATTTGCCTCCAAATCTGTGTCCCCGGTCTTAGTATACTCTCAATCATTAAATCATATAGAAATCTCGAGTTACGATTTAATGGTTAAGAGTGCACTGGAACAAAGGAAATAAAGGAATTTCGAGACAGAGGATCTCGCATCTATGAAAACCCCCGTCTTTGTGTCTAATGATAATAAAATTGAATAAGAAATCTGATTATATATATGTAGCATTTTTCTGTTCTTTTTTTATTAATACCAGCATCTGTCTTCTAATTTCTAGATTTGCATGAGGTCTTGAAAGATTTTCATAGCAGGAGCAGGCAAGCCAAGAAGCACATTGATGCTTTTCCTCTCTTTTCCATGGGAAAGGAACAAAATCACTTCCTTCTCAGGCAAAGCCACTGGCCCAGATAACACTGGCTCACCCCATCCAAAATCTGTAGTGTGAAAAGACAGCCTAGACCATGTAGTGATCAGAAGTGTTGCAGTCAGTGAAGGCCTAGCTCTTGTTGCTTCAAAATAATCAATGGCTGATCTCATATAACTGTCTGTAACTAACTTAACTGCCTCTTGTACCAGTGCCACAGCAGAGGACAGTGGCTTCTCCACTAGCTCCCCTGCACTGCACATTGAATTGGTTAATACAATGCCATTTCCAGAGTACCCTTCTGGTAATGGTGGGTTGAATCTGGACCGCCCATCGACAGCAAAGAGGAGCTTTGTCTGTTGATCAGGCTTCAGATTCAGCGCTTGGGTCCGAGCCCTCCAGACGAAACCAGAAAGGGCTTCAAATGTAGTGCACTTTTTTAAAGCTCCTTCTTTCATTGTTTTGTTCTTGAGTTGTTCAAGCTTGTCGGGGTCGAAACAGAAGGACCTGTAGAGCATTTCTTGTTTGTAGAGATCAGCAGTGTTGGATATGTCTTCGATCTCAGCGAATTCGTGGTGTTGGAATTCAATCTTTGGCGGGTTTCGAGCTTTGAGAATGGTTCTGTCTAGGAATGGAGGGACATTGAGAGGTAGGCCTCTGGCAGTTTCACCCCATGAGTTCACAAATTCCATAGCTCCAAGCCCATCAAACATGCAATGGTTCATGCATAGCCCAAGAACAAAGCCTCCACATTTGAATTTAGTCACCTGGAAGATGAATTTAGGACTCTGACGTATTCTATTGGAAAGATGTTTTGCTAGAATTGAGTAAATTAGGAAGAACATGGCAAGAAGTTTTGTCTGATTTGTGTATATTTCAAAATTCATTTTTTCTCATTACTTCTCTGTAAAGACTGATTGAAAAGGATGATCCACGCACGGGGCTTGCAAAATATAATGTATGAAGTTGCTCTCAAGAAGACTCCATAAATGTATAACATAATAATAAAAAAAACTTAGTGGGCGTTTGGGGTTTGTTTTTTGGTAGTTTTTTTGTTGGTTTATTTTTGTTTTTAGTGATTTTTTTTTTTATATAGTTTTTCAAAAAGTTTTAGGCTTTTAAATTCTACTTGACCAGAAGAACTAGAAAATTAGGAAGAATTTTTGTTTTTTTAAAAAAAAATCAAGAAAAGACAAAAATAAGTCAAAAATGGTAAACTTTTTTTTAGCTTATTTTGGCTTTTTTATTTTTCATTTTTTGCAATTTTTCAAAAAAAATATACTTTTAGATTTGTCTACTCATCTACACAAAATGGATTGGAAAAATAAAAAATTTTGACATAATTTTAAAAAAATATCGCTAAAGACAAAAAAAAAAAAAATTCTTAAAAATATATTTCCCACGGTTGTAAAATGATAGTTCCATTAGTTGTGATAGTAGTGTACCTGAAGGTGGTGAAGGCAATATGAGGTGGTAGTGGTGGTAGCGAGTGGTGGTGGCGCGGCTGTGATGGTGGTAGTGGTATCGGTGTGGGTAGAGTGGTAGTAGCAGCGGCAGTGACGCTGATTGTGGTGGTGTGTGTGGCCACAAGAATTGTAGAGTGATGGTGGTGGTGGTGATATGGTGATAATAATGTAAGGCCATGTTTGTTTGGATGGACATGAGCTTGGGATTGGACTAATAGTCCAATAAAATTATTAATCCGATGTTTGGTTAAACAATTGAAGTACGGATTAATTATTTTAAACTTGACTATTAGTTAAGATAGGATACATAATCCAACGGATTCGTAGTCTTAGCACTATTAGTCATGGGAATGCTAATCCAGTCCGCCCAAACAAACATGGCCTAATAGTGTTAGTAAGAAACTAGTCTATCTCGTTAGGTTCGAAACACAAGAAAGTTTTTTTTCTGTTTAAATCAACTCATTTTTATGGACCAACTATTTTCATTGGAGTTGTCCTTCAAAAACTGACTTACAAGTCGAATTGACTATCGTGCGTGTTGTAGTTAATGGCAAAAATGATGGACACACATCACACACAGTTAATGGTAGCCAAACAAGTGTGTCAACTAGGGTTTATAAGTCAGCCTATAATTCATTTTCGTTTTCGTTGATTTTCGTTTATCATATCAAATATTAAAAAATATGAAAATCGTTTTGACAAAATAAATAAGTATAACTAGTTGACAAATGTTGCATGTCCCTAGTGTTTTTTGTCATCATTTTATATCAACTCCTACATATATATACTTATGACTAATTCCTTTTCTTAGATAATTATCAAGTATTTAATGAAAGCAAATTAACATCTTACCATATAATTTAGTGATATAAAAAGTTGAAAAAATAAAAAAAAAATATCTGTCTTGCTAATTATGGTGAATTTATTTGAATGACAAAATGCAGATAAAAATGACAAACCTGAGCAACCAGAGGAGGCATTTCAAGTATGTTTTTGGCACCAGGAATGTCATAAACCAGCTTCCCAAGAGTCACAGGATCAGGCTTTGTGTTATCACCAATCTCCTCTATCTTACAATTTGCTTCTGCCTCGACAAACACAGCTCCTTCCCCATTGCAATCCACTATCAGCTTCCCCTCTGCACTAATCGTCAGCCGCCCTGCGAGCTGATAGTAGTGCACGAGAACCTTTGACAAAGCATCCTTGATCACTTCCACCGCGTCTTCATTGCCTCTCTCCTCCGATTTAAAGCTGTAAATCGTGCGAACAATCACCGCTATGTTCTGGTCCAGGTTGGAGAGGAAGTACAGACCCTTCGGTGTCTCCTCTGCTGGAGTTACAAGACTTGGCTCACCTTGTTTCACAACAAGTTCGAAAGTGTTTTCATCACCATTAATCTCCATTGGAAACGGACTCGTCAAGTTTCCCAAGCCTGATGCAAGAGAGAAAATCAGGGTTTGTTACAACTTAAATTATTTGCTTTTACTTAAAGCTTATTAGGCAGGAATAGTATAAATAAGTTAAAAAATACTGATTATCTAAAAGTTGAGAGAGGTATTTTTAACTTCTGTTTTCTGATTATGAGTTTTTAACTTGTAATAAGTTGCACCAAATAGGACTGTCAACTTATGATGGAGAGGGATTGAGAAGAGAAAAACTAAGAATTTGAGACAGACCTACCTGTGAAGCAGTAAGTATTTCAATTGGTGTTTTGGGTTGTAGTGATGGTAAGGAATAATCTATGCATGGCAAAGGAGTTGAGGAAGAAGTTATATAGGAATAGATGGGATAGAAAGATTGAGAATTACATGTTTTTGGTTTAATAAAACATGCTGTCATGAAAGAGACAGGTCTGATAGGGGCATAATGGATTTGGAAATAAAGAATTTGTGGGAGTTGGGATCCTATTGTGCATTAGATAGGGGGTGTTTGGAGAAGTCTAATCTGGATTCATTTTCAAAATCTGAATAATTTATTTTGTAAGATTTGGCGAGAAAATTATTTGTGTGAAAAATCAAATTGATTGGATATCGACAAATATGTGATTGCATTATATTTGTTTTTTTAAAAATTAGACCACATATATAATGTTGCAGTCTATATATTTTTTTTAATAAATGTGATCCGATCGAGTTGGTACTAATCTCTAATTAATCTTATTTTTTACATGTCACTCAATAAACCCTACTACAACCAGGGCTCTAGTAATTATATAATACCATTTTGTGATGTGAGGTTACGAGTTCAAATCTTATAGAGAGAAAGTTGATAATATTTTGTATTGTTTCATTCTCCTACTAACAACTAACAAGTTAGCCCCTACTAATCCAGATCTACTCACAGTACATAATAGGATTTTTGCCACATATACATATTATACATATTTCGATAACATTATTTAAAATAACACTCCAAATCCGAATCTTTGAGTGGTGTTGTGAACATAGTTTTTTTGGGGGCAGATTGGGCTGGTGTCATGTAGATGGTGGTAGGCAACTGGCCACCGTACCAAAACACGTTTAAGTAGTAGGGTGGATGAAGAGATGCTGTGCCCTGTAGGGGTTGGGTTGGTTAGGTAGGGTTGGGCATCCAAATTTTGGTTGAATGATCAAAACTCCATTATACAATTTTGGTTGCTTCATCAACCTCTAAAATACAAATATATTAAACAGCAATGCTAGGTGGCCACAAATTATGTGGCTCGAATGGCTCAAAACACCCAAAACGATGTCGTTTTGGGTGCAAAATGACGTCATTTTGGCAGTTTCGAACCATTTGAGCCACAGAATTTATGGCCCTCAAACATTTTTCTATATTAAACCCTGTCAACTTTGTCCACTTTCATGAATTATGAGGGGTATACCCATCCTCTCTTTCCTCCTCTTTACTCCAATTTGTTTGTTTTTTACCCTAAAAGTTGGAGCTGAAGATTATGATCATATTCTTAAGGTTATGGTGGGCTCATGAGCTGGTCACAGTTTTACACAACAGAGTTGTTTTCACCACTCTTTTGGGAAAGCCCATAGACTAACCAAATTGCATTTAAGTAGTGATAAATGTGTATGTATGTATGTATAAATTTGTATATATTCTTTTATTCATATCGATTATTTATCCAACCAATAGCCGAGAGTTAAATGAAATTTTGGTTGTTTGAGCTTAACTTGTTAAAAATTAGTTGAGGTTAAAGAAATAAATTTGAGTTATTACATAACTAGTCAAGTTCGAACTGATAAGAAAAATCAAACATGATTAAAATGTACATTAAAAAAAATTATGAACAAAATATAAAATAATACTCATATTATGAATAAATTTTATCAAGCAATATGTAAACTTGCGCAAATGTCAAATCTAAACCAAAAATAAAATAAATAAGAACATATAAATATATAATTAATTTATATATAATTGTGTTAAGAAGTCTATTCCATGACTTACAAGAAAAATTAAACGTAAATTAACATGTATATTTAGAAGAAGAAAAAAATCAAGCAAAATATAAATAATGCTCATATTATTAATAAGTTTTATCAATTAAATATAGGGGGATGCACCAATAAATCCCAAATTAATAACTTATACACTGTTTAGTCCTAAAAGTTTTCTTATAGACTGAAAGGTCCTATTACAATGTTTCGAACATCAGATTAATGTTTCGAACATTAGATTTCGAACATCAGATTAATGTTTCAAACATTAGATTGATGTGCAAATGGGACTAAATGGAGCATAAGAAAACTTTTAGGACTAAATGGTTCAACTTTTCAGAAACTAGGACTTATGGGTAAATTTTCCTTAAATATATAAATCTGCACAAGCATTGAACATAAGCAAAAAAAATAAAATATCATTGTGTTCACAAACTTATTCGATTCAAGATTAGTTTTACTTGAGCTCAACTTAATTATGAAACTGATTTAAAATTTTAACTCAAGATAATTCATTTAACAAATGAGTCAAATTTTAATTTCTCATGAACAGCCCAATTCATTTAGGTCACTACTCTAACTCTACAATTAAATAACTGCACACCATTCAAAACGATTAAACATCTAAAGAGCATCTAATAGAGTTAGAAAAATCAATTGCAAATAGAAATCTTTTTGACAATAAATTCAACCATAATGGCATGCCGAGTAGTTTTCAAATTAGGATAAATTAAAAATATATTACTTATTTAAAATACTAATTGTCCCTTTGAAAAGACTCCACCTTTTCAAATTTCTAACAATTTAATAATTTTATTGTTATACAAGAAGGTAGTTAATAAATTTATTTATTATTATTATTTTATTTTATTTTATTAACTTTGTTAAATAGTAAATTCTAACAAAATATTTAGAATGAATAGCACTAGAGACTTCAAAAATTTTACCAAAAATTCTATCAAGTGTCTCACATAAATATGAGACTCACACAATTAGTTTTATGTGAATTCCACTCATATAAAATATTTGGTAAATTTTTTTAAATCTCTAGCATTTTTGATTTATAATTTCTAAAATGACAAAAAATAACTCGTATTTTAAACAAATTTCAATAACTATATTTATAATTTATCTTTAAAATTATAAATCATAATGAAGCGTGTTTTAAATAAAAATAAGAGTATATGTATGAAAATTGTGTATACTAGTTGCTTGTTACAATCACCATATCTAAGACAACCAAGGCCTCAAAACTTGAGGAACAAACTTTAATTGAACCCACCAACAAAGCAATCTTCCTTCATGGCCCGCTCATATTATTATTAGGTAACACTGTAGAACCATATGATGAAAAGTCAATCCATTTTCTTCAAAGAGGTTCAACAATCTTTCCTGATTATCAGCAAATGAGAATGAAAAATAAATTCAAGATATACCCATTTTGGTGAAATATCTAAATCAACATTAAGTGCTGTAGGGTTTAAACATAAAGAGAGAACCCTTTCCCCAGTATGACAAGAAATACAAGCTCCACACAAACAATTGTTAACCAAAAGGGGCAATGCAATGTTACAAGAAAGATACACAACAAAACTCAATTCACATAAAGACATCACAAAAATTTTACTAAATTTTTTTAAATATTGAATTTGTGAAAAAATTTATCCAAAAATAAAATAAAGGTACAAGTAAAAGCAAATGAAGCAGAAGCTTACTTCAGAATCTTTCATGAAAAAGGCCTTCCATTTCTTTGAGCCATCCAATAGATTACAACAATGATTGAGTCAGCCTTCCATTGAATATGCAATTTGCAAACAAAAGAATACTACCAACTCAAAGATATCATATAATATAACAGAGGCAATTATCAACTCAACTGCCAAAATAACTTACTCAGCCATTGGCTTCAGCACTTCAGACAATAAAACAATCATTTTTTTTTTCCATTTGGTACAGAATAAGAAATTTACTACTCATTTACAACAAGTAAAGACTCAATATCAGCACCATAAAATTTTCAAGTAGTTGCGACAGGAAAAAAAAAAGAAAAGGAAAATGCCAACTAAGTACAACTACAAGAAAGTTTAAATGGAAAGGAAAAGAACTAAAAAAAAGTCAAAAAAGAAAAAATAAAATAAAATAAAATCTCAAGTAAAGCGCCTAAGGGTTAATATCTATGGTACAGACAAACCTATCTTAGGGCATTCATTTGAAAAGGTCAATAAATTAAAGTGCCCCTATTTGCTGATGAAACCTTTGTATGCAGAAATCTAACATAAAAAGTGAATTTGTATTAATTTATCTGTACTACTACAAAGGGTTGTATGAGGCTTTTGAACCCTTTTGAATGGGTCAAGCATCGCTATCACTGTCCTCATCTTTCTCAGCATCATCTCCACTGTCAGCTTCCTCTCCTTCATCTTCCTCATCAGACATGCTGTTTATGACATCCGTAATTACAGCTTTAACCTCTGCTTTTCTGTGCATTAGATCCACACCAAAATGGGTTCCTAATACAACCAGTTCCACCAATGACGTATTAGCAACCATAAAACTGAATATACTACAATTTGTAACATAAAATACATGTGAGCCTTACCAAGTTGCCTCAGAATATCAGATAAAGTAGCCTGCGTTATGAGAAGCACGAAAAAAATTTGTGAGCAACATGACTAATGTAAACTTGAACCATTTAAACCAAGCAAGGCAAGAAAACAGACACTACTTACAGTATTGAAGTCCACTTCCTTCAGAATATTCACAACTACAGCATGCATCTCTTCTTTGCTGGGTTCTGGCTTAGCCTTCTTGCTAGCTTTTCCCTTTCCTATTCCAACAGAGATTCAGAACAACTGATCAAGAAATGTGCATAATTTTGAGCATGGAATAAGATAAAACCTTCTCCAAACACAATTATGTAGCTATGGAAATCCCAATAACTCAATCTGACAAATTCTGTTCACAAAGTACCCTAGAGATATTTGGCATGCTTTTGATACATCAACTTCTGATCTAGGAGGTAAAACAATTTCAAGATTTAAAATCCCATATCTATCATATGTGAATAAATCATAGCAATGACAACCGAGACTAGCAATGTCTACACTTTCATTTCCTGTTTTCTGTTTCTATTTTCGGTTTTTTTTTTTTTTAACTGAAAACAAAAACTTGTATGGTATATTCTTTTCACAATAAAAATATGAAATTGATTCCAAAATTTTCAAATTTTTGCAAACAAAAAGGTGTCCACTTGTTTTCAAAACAAGTTTTCACTCTCTTCTCTCACCCACTGCCACCACTAGCCACCAGCGGCTGTCGGCAAGCTCCAGTCAATAGCCAACGAATTCCAACTGCTTTCCAGTGATTCTGCGGCGACTAGCCAATCACCGGTGGGACATCCAGTTATCTCATAACTCCGACCAACTCCGGCAGGAACCTCCACTGCCAGCTACCACCTCTTCTGGCAACTTACCAAACATATTTCTCTATTTTTGTTTTTATTTGTTTTCAAAATATTTTTGTACACCAAACAAATTTTATGCTTTTTTTTTTTTTGTATAAAACAAAAACAAAAATGTGTTTCCCGTTTTTTCCCTTTTCTGTAAACAGAAAACAGGAAACTAACAACATTAACAAATGATCCACAATGGCTAAAATTTCAAGAATAGGGTTGCGTGCAACTTCATGATAAAAACATTTAAATGTAGATTTCAATGTCAAAATTCAGGCATTAGTGTCATCAAGATTGAAAGAAAGGCACGCACCTTGATCCTTTGCTGATACATTTGAAGAAGACTTGCTAGGCTGTTTCTTGCTTATTACTTTCCCCTTGGCAGAAGCACTTTGGTCCTCGCTGTCCTTTTCAACCTTCTGCTTTTTAGTTGCAGAAACCTTGGGCTTAGAAGCTGATTCAGAAGCTCCATCAGCATTACTAGCAGCTTTCATTGAAGTTGAACTAGAAGAATTCTTGGTTGATTTTGCTGAGGTTATGGAAGATTTTGCAGGGGTGCCCTTCTTGACAGATTTAGATTTCTCACTGGCTTTAGACCCAGATTCCTTCTTCACATTCTTTGTGGGAGATTTTTTTTCAATTGGTGCTTGCTCCTTTGTCTCATCTTCCTCCTCTTCTTCAGACTCACTCCCCTCCTGATCACTCTCTTCCTTTGGAACTGTATTGTCATTGTCGACATCATCATCATCTTGAGATTCATTTTTGGTGTCTGCAGGTTCAACTTCATCTTCCTCAGTTTTGGAAGAACGCTTGCGGTTCTCTCCAACTTGAGGGGTTTTCTTCCGTTTCTAGAGGTTGAAATACATCTATTTTAGTCCCCATTAGATGTCAAAAGAGAATTTAAACAAAAGCAAATAAAACTAAAAACACTCAGACAGAGATATAGATAGTTGACCATATAACAATCAGAGAAGATCCCAACAGATGATGACACTACTATATTCAATAAGAAGAAGAAGAAGAAGATGATGATGATGATGATGATGATGATGATGATGCAGCAAATTGCAAAATAGTGGTTTTGAAGGCTAAAAAGCCAGGACAGAAAGCAAAACATGGATTCAGAAATTCAAAATTTTCATATACTAGACTATCTTCCATATGCATCATTGCATACATCACTCAATGGGCAATTACAATCCCCTTTATAAAAATCTTGGTAACTGAATGTCCCAGAGAAATCGAGTCAATTTTGTTCTGCAAAGTCTCAAAAAGTTAACATGTAGCCCCCAAGCCTTGCTCTACCGCTGCAGAACTCATGGCAGTAACTAACTGAAGATATGTGAAAGAAATGAAAGGAAACATCAATACACAAATGCAATGCCAACCGCAAAACCAAACATTTCAGTAGTGAGGCTACTAGAGCAGCCTAATTCATACAATTATTTGATGCCATAATCCATTTAAAGAGCATTGCAATACAATTGAATTTACAGGAGTGATCTATCATTAATGTTTTAGTTAATCCATTTTTTTACCACCAAGCTAATGCAAGTTACAAGAGTAGTCCTCAGGATACAAGGCATGAACGACAGCTACCCACCTTTTAGCAATTAAATTCACCACCGCAAATAATGGTACATTCCCAACACTTACCAACAAGGAAAAGAACCAAAGCATCACTAAAAGCACTGCTCTAGTAATGACAACAATCACAATTAGAAGACTCAAACAAGGAAAAACAGAAAGACTAAGCAGGGAGGAAATGTAACCAACAATATCCCACCATATACACGTATCCTTGCTCATGACACCCTTTATTCAACTCGAAGTCCTAAGGAGAGCAAAAGAAGGCATGGCGTGATCTAAAATCATGTAGAGCAGCAAAATTGCAGCCCATGTCCAAAACCTCCCAGACAAAATCACTTCATAGCATTGAACTATAATGCTCTGTGGCAGTGTACTAATTAGAGACCAAAATCAATCACATTCTACTCAAAAGTTCCACTGAACAGCAGCAAGTGGACCATTGAAGCACATCTCTCAATTGAACTCTTCACATGAATCAAAGATTTAAAGGAAAAACAGAAGGCATGGTTCTATCTATAATCATATAAAGGCTGCAAAATCACTGTCCATGTCTAAACCTCTTGGATATAATTCCTTCATAGCAACAAACTATGATCCCCTTTTTTTGTAATACTAATCAAACACTGAAATCAGTCAAGTTCAGATGGGAAGCATTCAAGATTTCTTATCATACAAAGGAACAGTTCTTTTTTTTTTTTTGAGATCAACAACAAAGAACTTTATTGATAAATCAAAAATGAAAGTAAATGAGGATGAGGCATCCTCTTACAATGAAAAGGGAAAAACACAAAACAAAGGCCTAAACAAGAAAACACAAATGCCAAAGCCTACATATCACACACTACCAACCAATTTCTAGCTAACAAAAAAAAGGAAACCCCTTTAAAAAGAGGATTCCCCAAAACCCAAAAAGAAGTTAAATGGCAAACACAATCCCAAAACAATCTATCCCTCGAGATTTATCTTCAAACACCCTCGCATTTCTTTCCAACCATAGAACCCAAAAGGTTACAGAGACCGCACCAAACCAAAGCAATTTGGCTTTCTTCAATCCTCGAAGAATGCGAAAGTCAACTTCGAGCATATGTGCACTCCTTTGTGAAGCTACCCACATAACATTCCCCAACAGAAATAACTTGTGCCACAAAAACAAAGCTATTGGACAATGCAAAAATAAATGATCCACGGATTCCCCATTCTTACAACACATAATACACCACTAAGGATTTAAAGATCGATTAGGTCTCCATTTCTACAATGTATCATTTGTCAAAATGCCTCCATCTTCACCTTAAGAAGAGCATAAGCCTTTCAAATTCTCTTAGAAAAAGGAAATTGAGAAACATGAGGAGAATCAATGAGTTTATCAAAAAAAGACTTACACGAAAATATCCTAGATGAATGAAGAGCCCAACCCCTCTTGTCCACCAGAAGAGGAGTCAGAAAAATTCTCAATTCTTGACAACAAGGACACCAACTGTGAAGCTTCCCTATCATTAAGATTTCTAGAAAAATAAAAGCTTCAGGAAATTGGAGCCAAAAGTGAACAAGCCATAGAAGCAATAGAAGAGTTATGAGATCGAGCCACTCTATAAGGATGTGGGAAATCAAAAGCAAAAGAAGATTGGCCCATCCACACGTCCTCCCAAAAACGAACAAGTTCTCATTTCCCACCCTTATCAAAAGATGACAAGACCAACATGTGTATACATGTGAAATTCATTTCCAATGAGCACAAGTACCCCTCAAGACCACCGAAGAATCCCTACCATTGTCTTGAATCCCATACTTGCTTCTAATAACCAAATGCCATAGTGAATCACTCTCAAGTGAAAACCTCCACAACCATTTGCCAAGAAGGGCCATGTTCCTAGCCAAAATGTTGCCAATAGCCAAACCCCCCTTTTCCTTGGGTAATGAAACTAAATCCCAACTCACCAGGTGATCCTTCTCCTCATCCTTGTCGTCCCAAAGAAAATCCCTCATCAACTTTTCCAATGTCTTTGTCACCTTAACTGATATCTTGAACAAAGATAAAAATAAATAAGAATACCACTCAAAACCGACTTAACCAAAGTATATCTACCCTCTCGTGACAATAAAGCCTTACTCCACCTTTCCAACGTTTTACCAATCTTCTCCACCACTAAATTCCAAAAAGCTTCACTCCTAAGATTACCCCCCCAAAGGAAGACCTAAATACTTAAACGGAAGTGCCTCTATACTACATCCTAAAATAGTCGCCCTATTCCAAAGCAAGTCTTGCTGCATATTAATACCCACCACACTACTTTTCTCCAAATTAATCTCAAGGCCAAAGATGACCCCAAACAATCTCAAAATCAAATAAAGATTAACTAACTGACTTTCATCTCTTGTTGAGAAAAAAATTGTATCATCCGCATACTGTAAATGCGTGACACAAACTCTATCCCCTCCTACCTCCAATCCCGCAAAAAGACCTACTTCTCTAGCTCTATCAACCATCCTGCCCAATACATCTGCCACCAAAATAAAAAGAAAAGGAGATAATGAGTCCCCTTGTCGTAATCCTCACGAAGCCCTGAAACACTCCCTTAGTTTACCATTAACTAAAATAGACATATTACACGTCGACAAACATCCCCTAATCCAAGATTTTCACTTCCCACCATAACCCTTCTTGTCCATTACAAAATCCAAAAATTACCAATCCACGTGATCATATGCCTTCTCAAAATCCACCTTAAAGATAATACCCTCATTTCCTAAACTTCTATATTCCTCCACGACTTTATTTGCCACTAGGCCTTGTTTGGCAAGTATTCCTTTTAGCCAAAAAGTCAAAAAGTTATTAAAAAAATCAAAAAGCCAACAACTCATACCAAAAAAGTCAAAGATTCCATTTTCTCTTTATTTTTTGCACATCTTTTCATAAAAAACCAAAAAATCATCCTAAACATACTAGCTTTTTTTACATCACATTTTAGCCAAAAAGTCAAAAAGTTACTAAAAAAATTTGTTCCCAAACGAGGCCTAAGGCTACATCTAGGATTTGCCTACCTTTTACAAAAGCCCCATGTGCCATCGACACAGCTACATCTAGGATTTGCCTACCTTTTACAAAAGCCCCATGTGCCATCGACACAATCTCCCCCAAGGAGATTCTGAGCCTTTTTGATAAAATCTTCCCCAAAATCTTGTAAAGTGATGTGACCAAACTGATGGGTCTAAAATCTCCAATTCTTACTACATTCACTTTCTTAGGAATCAAACAAATGAATGTGACATTTGAGCTCAAATTAACAACCCCCAACTCATGACATTTCGAAAAAACTCCTAACAAATCATTTTTCATCACCTCCCAACAGTCCTGAAAGATAGCCATGAAAAAACTATCTGGACCTAGAGCTTTGTCTCTCTCACACTCGAAAACTACCTCCCGAATTTCCATTTCATCAAATGGCCTTTCAAGTCAGGTTGCAACTGCTTGATCAATAAGTCCCCATTCAAGTCCTTTAATCCCTGGTCTATTTATCTCCTCCTTTGAATAAAACTTAGAATAAAAATCATAAATTCCATTAACAATCTAATTCTCCTATTCCACTACTACCCCTGGACTTACTTCTAATCTCTTAATGAACTTCTACTTTCTTTTCTCATCTGCTATCCTGTGAAAAAATCTTGAGTTCACATCTCCTTCCTTCAACCATTTAACCTTCGCTTTTTGAGACCCAAGAGATTTGCTTCCTAAGAGCCAACTCTTCCAACTTCAATCTCAACAGGGATCGCTCCCTCCTAAAGGACTCAGCAAAACCCCCCTGCATCTCCAATACATCTAACCCTTCGATTCTGCTCATCACCTCTTTCTTTGAAAACTCTAAATTCCCAAAAACCTCCTTATTCCAACACTTCACATTCTCCTTGACCATCTTCAACTTTTTCATAAACTTAAAACCCTCACATCCATAACAATTAGCATTGGTCCAACATTCCTCAAATTTTCTGTGAAAAGATGGATGTTCCAACCACATATTTTCGAATCTAAAAGGCATCGACCCCCATTTTAAAGGGCAATGTTCTATCATAATAACGCAATGATCTAATATTAATCTTGATGGTGATTCCTGCCTTAAATTAGGAAAAAAACCTTCCAACCCCAAGGAGTACAAAAATCTATCCAACCTACAGCACACCAAATTTTCTTACAAATTAGACCAAGTAAATCTAGTGTTGCACAAAGGAGGATCCACCAACTCACAATCAATGATAAACAAATCAAAGTCCCTCATGCCTCTAGTAGTTCTAATCCCATTGAGTTTTTTTGAGCTCTTCCTAACCACATTAAAATCTCCCCCTAAACACCAATTAAGGGAACGTAACCCAAATAACCCATATAACTCCTCCCACAAATCCTTTCTCCTAGACGATCTATTAGGGGACCATAAACCCCTGTTAACCACCACTCTGTATTGTCAAGATTTCTAAACCTAATTGATAGTGAGAATTCCCCCACTAAAGTTTCACAATGAGAAACAACTCTTTCATCCCACATCACCAAAATGCCCCCCTACTATACCAACTAAAGGCGAACAAACCCAACTCTTATGTCTAACTTCCCAAAGACTCTTCATGAACCTCCTATCACATACTTCTGCTTTAGATTCCTAAAAAGCAACTATGTCCAGTTGATGACGCCTAAGAAAATCCTTAATAACACCCCTCTTTCTCCGAGCGCCCAACTCCCTCACATTCCAATTGATGATCTTCATTGGGAAACATGTTCACCCCTAAATACCTCCTAACGCCTCTCATAATTAACCGAACTTGCTAAATTCCTAAGTTCCCTTGCCCCTTTTTTTATTGCTCTCACCCACCTTTCTACCAACCTTCTCCCTAATGAACCTACTATCTTTACTAAAAGATCATGCCCATAACTTGAAGTAACTGCATAAAATGAGGCACCTCCTCGGCCCCAATTGGACAAGTCTAATATTTACTTAATTCCTTCAACAAACTCTCCGTTTCTTCAACCCCATTACTAAAAACCTGACCCCCCTTGTCAACATGACTACCTAAGATCCCTTCCTAATTGTCTTTCACATGGTCTTGAATACCATTAGCTTGTAAGGTCTTAGACACAACAATAGACCCATTCACCATGTCCGTTGAGGTATCAAAGGTAACCCCTTGTGCCTGAACATCACCTGAGGAGATCTGAAGAACAAGACAAATTGACCTAAATGAATGAAACAAAGAATCCCCATCCTTAACCCTTTCCCCATAATTAGAAAAAACCGAAATGGCTTGTACCCCCTTCAGTGTAGATGAAAATGCTAAAACTTGGTTAAATGATGGACTAACCTAATTCAAAGATTCAAAAACCTTCTCGAAATCCTCACCATCAGTAGTACCATCAACATTGAAAAGATTATTGAGATTCCAATCCTAGTCCTCAAGCTCATCCGCTATACTTTCCCCTTCAAAGTGTGAATTAGAGCTCTCGGATGATCCGTATTCATCCATAGCTTGCAATACCTCATGTAGTTCGAACCGACCCACTTCTAAGTCCTAAACTAATTTTTCCGAAGCCAAATTAATCTCCACCAAGCCCTCATCCGACGCATTTTAATCTCAAAAAATCCTTACAGGATCTATCCACAATATCAGACAATCCTAGATGTGCCTCCTTTGTGCTAAGGTCATCACGAATGGTGGACTGCCTAGGCTGAGTGCACTCGATTGGATCTGATGCGACAAAAGAGAGAGATCTGCTCTTTCCCCCAATCTCTAAACATCGTCTAGGCTTTTCAACACCGATAGACTCAGTATTTATAACCCGTGAGACCAAATGAATCGATTTGTCCTGCCCACCCAAACCCAACCCCGAAACCTCCATCGGGTTGGAAGCACAAACCCTTAGATCTTTCATAAAACTTGGGCCTTTGTCCTTAAAGAAACAAAACTTATTTGGGCCCTCATGAAGATCTGGAACACTCCTTAAAGCTGTGCACATCATCTAGCCCAAACTGATCATGTACCCCAGTATTAATCTGGTTATTTGTATTAACCAAAACATGGGCTAAGCCCACAGTGTGGCCAAGCCCATCTTTAATCAATGTAATGGCATGTCCCTTTCGTCTCTTTCTCTTCTGCCATTGCTGCCTTCCACCTCGTTCAAATCACCAGTTTGACTTCTCACCTCCTTTCGGCCACATGTCTTGGCTATCGCTTGAGACCCCTCGCCTCCCCTCTCACCGATATTGGAATCACCTAAATCAGGTCAGCACCACCATTGCCATTGAACCTCTCGTCTACCAGAAGACTTTGCTAACGCCTTCAATCGAACAACAGCAGAACTTCCATCCAATTGAACATCAATAGTTGCGGGTAAGAACCCATTACGAAGACCTTTGACTTTCAATCTTGCCTCAAAAAGATTTCCGAAAGTCCTAGTTCTTTTATCCACCTCCAACAGACCTCCACACTTCATCCCAATTCATTCAAAAACCTTGTTATTCCATAAACTAAAAGGCAGATCACAGACTGAGACCCATCCTCCATTTGAAGCAATCACATTAGCCCTACTATGTTTTTCAACCAACCACCTTTCAAAACTTATTGCAATGCTCTTACCAAAGAAACACATTCCCTGACTACCATAATAATCCGCCTCGTCAATGCTTTTTGCAACAAACAGAGCTTTGTTTAAGTGAAAAGGCCTCAGAGAAATACTAGTTTTAAAAGACTAACATAGCTCCTTCTTAATCTATGCCCATTCGTTGAAGAAATCAGTTATGGTACAAACCACCACCTTGCACATCTCCAAAACAGAGCTACTACCTCCCGAGAAATCTGCTTTAGAGCGGAGTACAGCAACATATGAAGCTCCTCTGTTTGCCCCTATTTTCTGCTGAACTGACATATCCACACTTGTGGGTCCTCTACGAGTCCTAACTAAATCATGGTCACTTCAATGCTATCTTTCCCCCTTTTCCAGAACCCTAGAACTTCCTCGAATAATGCTTTCAAACATCTTGGCCACTACCAGCCACCCTTGACCATCAACCCTTGCCGGAATAACAATGTTACTTCTTTGTACCCCAACCGGCCATTTAGATAACTCGACAAAAACACCACCCTTGTTACTGTACTTCTAAAGACAAAATACAACTAAACTGCTACTATACTTGCTAAAAAAGGATCAATCCTTGCGCCCTCTCCAAACCTGTCGCAAACCTTGCATTGCCCAAAAAACTCCCCCCAAATTGATCTTGAGAGAATAACTTCTGAAATGATTCCTCTCAATGACTTCCACTAGACTTCCTCTGGATTCACTATCAACCTTAATAATGATAAGTTTATGCTCTATACGTAGCTCTAAAACTCCCCCGTGATAATCCATTTTTCCTTTCGACACAAGCAAAGTAATGCTACAAAGGAACAGTTCTTATCATAAGGTGTATTGACTATTGAACACCAGGTGGAATCAGTCAAGTTCAGCTGGGAAGCATCCAAGAGTTCTTATCATACAAAGGAACAATACTTAACCTTATGTCATTGAACACCAGGTGGACCGTTCAAGCATAACTCTGAAGTACAAATGCAGACAAACCTTAAAAATATCCATCAAAATTTAGATTCCTGAATCATTGAAAAGAAACCAGTATGGATACTGTCAAAACAATACCAGTAAATCATTTTTACTATATGTCATTCAATGTTAAGCAAGAATAAGGAGTCTTTAAAATGCATTTACATGACCATTTAGATAATTTCGGGCAACAATATTGAGGAAAACAAACCTGGACCGGAGCCTCTTCAGATGCCTCTCCAGAAATTGCAGTTCTGCTTGCTGTAGTCTTCCCCTTTCGTTTTTTACCTTTCTGGAATTGAGATATAATTTCAGCAATAACTCTTACCTAGGCAACTACATATAGACAATTTACAGTAATTGAATCCCACCCCTACTAAAGCAGGGGGAAAAGGGGAAACAAAAGAGAATAAAATTTTTAACCTGTTCCTTATCAGCGAGCAAAGTATCAGTGGTAGGATGTGGAGATTCCAAAAACTCCAAAAGCTTTGCTGAAATTTCTTCCTGAAAGTATAATTTAGAGAGAAAATAATTGATCATTTAAAATTAAATATCATGTATAAATAATGGCATTGATCATTCATGAACGCATACCTTCTTTGTAATGGCCTTGATAATTGGAATATTGAGGACATCACAGAAATCCAACAATTTTTCCTTAACACATTTGTCAAGCTTCTCCTTAATTTTTGCCCTCTGTTTTTCCTGTTGAATACATATAAACAAATGACAAACATATGTTTTGGACTAGCATTAACATTTTAACATTATATATGAATCAAAAATTATATCCCATCCTCATCATGTGTTTCAGCATGCATGTCTGTGGGTACAAAAATTCTAAACAAGAAAGGAAAAGGATGCATACAAAACAGATAAGTTGTGAAATAAATAAAAATTACCCCCATATATAAAATAAATACCTCATTTTCAACCCACACATAACCAGAAAAGAGCCCTATGTTTTTCTTCAAACTGTGTGACTGCCAACAAAGCATCAAAAAACACATTCAAAACTTGGAAGAGAATCACAGGCTACAACTGCATTCCAAATTATATTAATGATTGGAAAACATACAAAAAAAGATGCAGGGACTTTAAAGGGAAAAAAACACTGTAAAATCAACCGAATGAAAGCAGAAGGGCAGAACCATGAAAAGCACTGATAAAAAGATCACCTTTGTTTTCTTTCCAAAAAGAATTGTGTGAAGCATCTGCAAGCTGTCATCAGGTTTTCTCTTGGACAACTTGAAAGCCACTGAAAGAGCAAATCAGATTGAGTAAGAATACAAGCCAAAGCCAAAGTGACCGTGAGGATTAATAAAAAGTAAATAACACCGAGTAATAATAATATGTATGACACAGCTGCAAATTTCTGCTTCAAAGTATAGTCCAATTTCTGCTTCAAACTATACTCCCATTCATAAAAATCTTGTGAAGACTAAAGCTTCAAAGAACACCCAGTTAAACTTCCAAAACCAATTAGCTGCCTCAGCTCCTGCCTTGGTCACATGCAACTCAATCGTACATTTTTTATGCCGTCAACAGAATAAAAGAAATTCATGCAGATAAATGGAGTTCAGGAACACTGATGTTTTTAGTGGCGTGTGCTGCTGTGTCAATCAAATTTTACTTAATGGACAGAGCTACATTACCTAGAACGCAGACTGTTCTAGGACATGCCACATGGAATGGGAATAGGAATGTAGTACAGCACATACTTTAAAATGTGGTATGATAGGAGGTAGACTTGTACAGACTATGCTATTCAAATTTAAAGTACTCCTAGAACAATATCCTTTTAACAATTAGGCTTCCAATAAAATATAGTTTTTTTATAAAAAAAAAAAAATTAATCATGTAACAAAACGTTTCTATGAAGATTACGACCCATTTTTTACATTTATCCTAGGTATTAACGTTTTATGGTAACATTGAGACGGAGCATTTACCATAAATTCCAATCTTCCACCAAGCACTAATAATCTTTTATACTGAAACCAACTATGCTATTAATATTACACTTAAATAATCCTGTGATTTTTCATTTCCATTTTTTTTAATATGCAGCTCCATAATTAAACTAAGAAAACAGAATATAATCTGACTTGTCTACCTCTAATTACAGTTCTTGCTTTTTACATTGATTTAAATACACAACAAAAGAGCCAATTTGAATGAATTAACAATTTATGGAACAAATGCAATCCAAACTAACAGAATAGCGCTTTGGTTCCAACTTACAAATATGTTTAATAGTAGTATGAACTTCCATTATTATCAATTATTCTTAAAGTGAACTTTATGGAGAACAAGGAAATAGGGGCAGAAAGTAAAGGCAAAAAAGAACACATAAGACTTTAAAAGCTCTGTCCTTAGAATCACACGATTCATGATTCAAATTGTACGATTCAATATGATTCAATGGGTACTCAACATGAACAAGTTGCATGAATTGCAAATAGTTAAGAATCATGAATGAATCAGTGATTCATAGAATCAAATCGGTAAATTGTGAATCGATTAATTAGCTTTCAGTTCACTGAAAGCAATTTTTGGCCTCTTCTTTTACTAGAAAAAGAGTTCAAAAATCCCCTTTAAGATCTTTAAGGTTATATAATTCATGATTCACCTTTCGCTCTCCCTATTTACTTTCGAAGACACAAAACCCTAGGGAAAAAATTTGCTTCTCTCTAAAATACTCTAGGTTTTCATATTCAACTTCATCCAAGTGTTTACACTTGTAAAATAAATCTTTAAGGAATCATATGAGATTTTTTTAAAAGTTTGGAGAATTGGGTACTTTTCCCCCTTTGAGGTGAATTTTCTATTACTTTAGTTATAAAAACTTTGTCAATGAGTTATTGTTAGCTTTAATTATTAAGAATAGATGATAAGAAAAATCTATAAGGAAAAATTCAAGATTGTGATCCTATGTAGAGCCATTATACTCGTGCTAAATTTTTTTATGTTGAACCTTGAATTCTTGCTTCCTTTTAATTCATATAGGCACATATGATGTGGATTGTCATAATCATAGCTGAAGCAGCCACGTGATCATCAATCAAAACAACCTTCTCATTGATTTAAGTCTAAATTTTTAATATATGCAATACATCTTTAACATCTAAATGCATATACATTTTTCTATATAAATTAGAAATCATGGTCAAATCTCTACAATTCATGATTCAAAAAAAAAAGACAATTTTGATTCACAATTTCACAACTATGACAGATACATATCTCACACCCTTACCCCAAGTATGAGTGTCTGACACAAATACACAAGCAACATACATTTAGGATTTCTGTCTATTTTCCAACGTCAAGAGATAATATATTATGGTTTTTAAGCTTTATGGTTGATGACAATTGGAACTCACATTCATAATATCTTCCCAATTAGACATCATAATTACTTCTTTATATAAGAGCTATTGAATAAGATGTGCCAAAATCCATTTATTTTAATTTTTCATATATCCGATTATTTAATATCATTTTTATATTGTGTCAAATCTTACAATTCTCATTTCAATTTGATTCACAACTAGCAAAATTAATATTTTGATTCACAATATTATTTTATCAACTATACACTTCACTACAAATTTTTTGGTTTTCAATAGGCAGGGTCAGACAACTGAAATGATTGGACATTTCAAATAGTGCAGATAAAATAATTCCACATTTTAGTGCATTGTTGGATGTTCAAGGCAAAAATATTATTCAAGCTTCTAATACACCCATACAATTTATGTGTGAATTATGAAAGAGGATTGTAAATCTAACCAATCAAAAGCTATGACCTGACCTTAGAAACTAAAGACTCCAGGCATCACTAACATAACTCATTTAAATGTTCCGCTTATACACTGGAACAATATCTCCTTGGGAAAATAACATTTAAATGAACTTTAAAGATCGATGTGAAAACCAAGACATCCTAGCTAGACAGAGCATAAAACAATATAACAAAATAAGATTGAGGAACAACAAATCTGTATTGATGCAATTTACATTCTAGCTGTCAATCCATAATTAGTACTTTTCTACATCTGAATTGACAAACTCAGAACTAGATAAATGATAAATACATACCATTTGGTATATCCTTAAGCTGTGTGCCTTGACCCTGCATATTTACAAAACACAATGTGAGAAAATTCACAATTACTAAGGGGGAAAAAAAAAAGTATAGCATAAATTTACTGTCAACACCTTCTCAATTGACAATACTTTGCTTGCACTTCTCCCAGTCGAAGGCTCCGAATACCGCTCGACAGTCTTCCTCTCCCTGATAGGCCTCTCGATTGGCGTAACAGGCTCTTTTGAGCCGGGCTCACTCTTCGCCGCCTTCTCATCTTTTGCAGCTTTCTTCGAACTACCCTTTCGACCTCTCTTCGCCTTTTTGCTTACCTCCTCTACTTCCTCCTTACTCTCTTCACCTTTCACCTCAGGTTCTTCCTTCTCCTCCTCTTCTTCTTCCTTCTCCTCCTCCATTTCCGTATCCTCTCCTTGCTTTTCCGCTTCCTTCTCTTCTTCACCCTCCTCTGCTTTCCCTTCTTCTTTCACTTCACCTTTGTCTTCGACATTAGCTATTTCTTCTTGTTTCTTGTCTTCTAGGGTTTCAGCCGCCATCGAAATGAGCTTCCAGAAAAGAGAGAGAGAGATAAATAGGGTGTGCTGTATGTAAATGTATATAGAGAGAAAGCACAAGTAAAACCCTAGGTTTGGAACCCTAGGGATCGATGCGAGTGGCCAAAATGGGACTGGTTCAGGAATCGCTGGAAGTGAGCAAAGTTACGGTTAGAGAGAGAGAGAGAGAGATCTCGAATGCAGACGCAGCAGAGGTTTTTTTAACAGTGATGTGGAGGGATTTAGGAGTGAGAAAAGGGCTTTACCGCCGTCTCTCAAATTGGGGAAAATGGTTCAAGGGCGGGATGATTTCGTGTGAGTTTCAAAATTTTTGTGCCTAAAATTATTAGCGGGCTTTTTGGAACAACATCATGGGCGGTTTTTGGTTTTTTTTTATTAAAAGATAAATTGATTACAAAATTTAAAAAATTAATTCAAATAAAATATCATATTAAATCTCATATTCATTTCACTTTTTATCTTACAAATATCACATTCAATCACAAAAAAAATCTAATTATTTTTCCAAACACAAAAAAAAAAAATTCTTCAATAATATCTTACAACTAAAAAAACTTACAAAAAAAACTCACTTCCCGAACACCTACCATGTTGTGTTATCCATATCATTGGTTTTAATATTGTAGTGATTCGTGTTAATTTATATTGTTTTATTTGTTATGGTTAATAAGTAGGAGTTTAACATGTATTAAAATTTTGTATTATATATATATATATATATATATTTATTTGAGTCATATATAAATATTCATTTTGATATTAAAAATTATAATTAAATTAGAAAAAGAATTAGTAATATAAAATTAACAGTAATTCTAACTATTTTGATGATACAGTTCGTGATGGTAGAATGGGTCAGACTAATCCACGCTCCTCAAGCTTATGTCCGAATTACCAAGCCCACCGGAAGACCTGCACAAGAGTTCAACGGGGAACGGGGAGTCCCCCAGCGAACCCTCCGACGAGCAAGTTAGAAAGAGAAGTGGAAAGGATTGAAAAGGTGTTGTTAAGCCTATTACACCCACTTTTAGATCCCAATTCAGTGATCTCAACTGTTCACATTTTTAAATTCGTCAAATATATTATTCTTACAAAAAATCAAGTTGATCAAATAACGACAACCACGTGTTCGAATTAGTTTTGTATGAACAGTTTATTTTCTCATAGTTCATTTTTTTTATACAAAATTGATTCAAATATGTGGTTACCGTTATCTAATTAACTTGATTTTTTTACAAGAATGATATACTTGATGAATCTTAAAATGTGAATGGTTCAGATCTACAAAATCTAAATAATCCTTGAGATATTGATTCGTGATTATGTTTCAATTTTAAATAGTAAATACCAATCTCAATCAAACAATCAAGAACAAATCAATACAACGATTTAATGTGAAAAAAATTACAATTAGAGCGCCTTCAATTGTGATAAAAAAACCACAAACCAAAATCATAAAACAATCCACTAAGAAAACAAAAACAAGAATTACACAAGAGTACTCTTAATTACCTAGCAAATCTACGCTCTTCACTACGGAACTGCTTTGCCCAATGTTAAATCCTCAATAATGATGTCGAATCCTTGACGATGAGCCACTTCGAAATCCACCAAAACTTCATACCCAAGTTCCCAGAATCTACTGAAAAACACCTCTCTCCTTTGTGAATGTAACAGTAAAATCAACCCCTTGATGAAGTCAATATAAAGCTCGTAAATTCATTAATTGTGACACCTGAGTTTTTTGCTCTGTTTGACCGAAACTTTTCTTGCTCAAGCGTAGATCTTTAGCTCTTGGTAAATGACAACTTTGCAGGCAGGCCGCTCGAGCGAAGAAGTTGTAGCTCGAGCGTAGAATGCATGCTTCCAATAGTTTCATTGTAGCTCTGCAAAACTTCTAGGACATGTTCTTTTCCGCTCGAGCCCACTCACTTAGTTATGTCTTACACTCGAGTATTAGAAGTTGTGCTCGAGCGACCTGTCGAGGACAACAGATTTTAAAAGTGATTCCAAGTCATTTCCTTTGCATTTTTCCATTCTCCCTCTCTCCCTAACTCTACCTTTTCTTAAACCCTAGCTCACAAAACCATAGATTTCTCCAATCTTGACTCAAGATCTCCCAAGATTAGTTGTTAAACCATTACAAATTAAAACTAAAAACTAACAAACAAGAGTAATAAAAGAAGATATTATACGGTTTTAGATTTGAGTTTAGATTTTATATAGAATTAAGAGAAGATACTATAGGGGAGGATGTATAATAAAAATATAGACTATTTGTATACGGTTTGGATCGGTTCCAATCCGGAACCGTGAGATTCAATCCGGAACCAATCCGTAGACTACGGATTTTTAATTCTTCAATCCGGAACCGAACCGCGGATTCAAAAAATCAATCCAAACCTATCGGATTGGACTGGACTGGATCGGATTACGGATTTCACGGATTGCTTGCTCAGCCCTAGCGACCTGTCGAGGACAACAGATTTTAAAAGTGATTCCAAGTCATTTTCTTTGCATTTTTCCATTCTCCCTCTCTCCCTAACTCTACCTTTTCTTAAACCCTAGCTCACAAAACCATAGATTTCTCCAATCTTGACTCAAGATCTCCCAAGATTAGTTGAAAGAAAAGCTAGATCGACACTTTCACCGATTGTTTTGCTAGATCATCGAAGTACGAGCGTGTATTGCCATCCTAGCAAACCAACTCGAGGGAGGGGTGTCTTTAACTCTTTATATCTTCAATTTGAGCTAACTTATGTGAAGTTTTATAACTACTCATGGTGTATCTATATATATATCTACATAGATTGTGAGTATGTGGCAGTGTAGATGAATAATTGGGTTCATGTGGTAAATGTTTCTTAACTAAGCAAGAAGTTGTGCTTAATATGGATGAATATCAATGTTAATGAGGAGTAATGGCCTCAATTTCATTAAAAAGAGAAAAACCTTAATGTTACTCAAACTCTAATTTTCAAAACTTTTTATAAAAATGATTTTGCTCAATTGTTTTCAAAAACATGAAATTGAGTGTAATTATTTGACTTTGAGTTGGAAGTATGTGATTTAAATGTTCTCTTTGATGCATACCTTAAGTTGAGAATGATTGTTGGTGTTAGACCCTTGGTTTAGACATTGTGAAGATGTGGATTCCTGTAAGGAGTGGTTTTATTTTGGGAAATCATACACTAATTGCAAATTCATACATCATTTGCATTGCCATCTCTTTTGATTCTATCTTTGTACAAATGGTTGGAAGTTGAAGAGTGGTAATTAGCCTACGAGTCCGGGTAGTGAGTTGGGTTGGATTTGAGTTATGTTATGTCATTGGTACCCGCACGGGGAGTCAAAGTGCCCAGTTGCCCTGTCTGTGTATGTAGCAATCTAGAATTTTTCCTTCCGCTCAAGCGGGGGGGTTGACGCTCGAGCGGACTTGTGAGACTTCCCGTACTTTTGCAGTCTGTCTGAAATTCTAAAAGTTGTGAGTTCCCGCTCGAGCGGCCGGCTTTGTTGGTCTGCGCGCTCGAGCGGTCTGCCTGGTTGAGTTTGAATTTCTGAGGCTAGTGAGATTGTTTTTGACCCTTTTATTATTGTCTTTGGAGCCTCTTAGTTTTATTTTGGGTCATTGATCGAAGTGGTAACATGGTGGTAAAGTAAGATTGGACCAAAAACTTTAATTTGGATAATCTTCCTACGAAAAGCCGTCACTCTTTTGCCCTTTTCTTTTTCCACATTTTGAATTTGGATGTGAGACTAGAACCATTGGAAAGCTTATTTTCGAGGCTTCAATTTGGACACAAGAACGACCTAAAACGGAGTTCGAATAAGAAAGTTATACCTGTTCGAAGTTTTGGAATCTGTGTTGGAAGCAGGTACACTCGAGCGGGAAAATTGACGCTCGAGCGGACTACACGAGTTCAGCAGCTTAAAAACATGATTTTTAGAACATTTCTTACATTTTCTTTTCCCCTCTTCTTTGCTCTCATTCTAGGTCCGAAAACCTAGCCTTAAAAACCTTGATTTCCTCCACTTTTATCAACAAATCCACCATGGATCTTGCATTAAGGATGGAGAACAAGAGAAGATCAACATTTTCAACCGATTGAGACTCAGATTTGTGACAGATTCTCATCAAAGCTTCGCTCCTTTGCTTGATTCTTGAGGTAGGGGTTCTTGTTCTTCCTCAATACTTCCATAAATAGATAGTTTTGTGGTATTTTGATTATATACATACAAAACCTACATTTTTAGACATCTAGAGTATATTATGAGAATTGGGGGTTTAGGGTTTGAGATGTTGGGAGTTTAATTGATGGGTTAAAATGGTGGATTGTGAACCCTAGGTGTATAATCAATGGGAAAGTTGGAATAAAAAGTAATGGGTTAAGAAATTTGATTTTTTTTCTTGAAATTTCTAGGTTTTCTAGAAACCCTAGGTTGATTCATGATGATAATCACTGATTTGGCCCAAATTGAAAATAGAATCATGAAATTGATAGGTTGAATTATATACGTACAAGTTTAATTGGAATTTGGTTATATTTGAAAATTATGTTTAAAATTTGCAAATGAACTTTGTTATGAGCATTGTAAATCATGCTATAATGAGAAAGGGAATTGGGGGAAATGATTTATTAACGATATAGATGACATAAACTCGATTATGGAATGTTGAGATGGGATTTAAGAATTTACCTTGGATTATGTTGAATTATATCTAGTGGTGTTGAATTGAATCATGTTGAATAGCGTTGATTATGTTGAATTATGTTGACTATGTTGAGTTATGTTAAATTAAGTTGAGTTGTGTTGGGTTGTATTGATTTTGGGTTGATATAAATAAAGGAAATTTTGCCCTAATTGGATCAAATTGTTATTTTGTATAAGCAATTAAAATTGTCAGTGTAAATGTGAAATCAGAGGATTATTAATGATGATGATGGAGTTTGATATGCATTATCACTCCCATATGAGATTTTGGAAAAAAACATATCTTCAAAGGAATTTATATATCGGTTTAGATGTATTTGTTTTGAGCTATCGGTGGAGGATAGCTGTGATTGGTGTAGAAATTGCATGTTGACTAGGCAAACCGGATTATTTATAAATCATGCATATCATGGAGAATGCAATGGATTTTGAGGATTTAAACTGTATGTTTTGGAAAAAGATTTTGGAAATTCTTGTGCTATGTTTAAGAGCACTTGTTTCATTTGAAAATCATATTTTGGATCACATGTATCGTGCTAGTTGAAAAGAGTAAATAATATGATAAGTCTGAAAATGGTTGTCATTGAATAT